TCTATCTATCTATCTATCTATCTATCTATCTATCTATCTATCTATCCCTGCTTACCTTCCTGCCTGCCTATCTATCATCTCTCTCTCTCCATCCATCCATCCATCCATCCATCGATCTATCATCTAACATCATCTATCTATCTCTATCTATATATCAATCTATCAGCCTATCTCTCTCTCTCTCTCTCTCTCTCTCTCTCTCTCTATTAATCCATCCCTCCACCCATCCATCTATCCATCTTAGTAGGCGTGAAACGGATGTGGGTGCCCAGCCAGCGCCTGCCTGCTTGCACCCTCCGCCAGGCGCTCACCTACTTCCTGGACATCACCACGGCGCCCAGCCCTCAGCTGCTCCAAGTGTTGGCCACCCTGGCCGAAGACCGTGCCGAGCGAGAGAAGCTGCAACGGCTCAGCCAGGTAGGAATGGAGAAGCACAGGAGCGGAAAGGGACAGGCACCCTCCCACACACACAGAGGTCATCCGGTCTGACCCCGAGCAGGAGAACCCCTTGTGGACTCGTAGAGATCGGGAAGGAACTTGGAGGTCATCTCGTCCAACCCCCTTCCTGAAGCAGGACACCCTTACAGAGGATCAGTGAATGAGAGTCGGAAGGGACCTCGGAGGTCATCTTGTCTGACGCCCCCCCCCCCGCTTAAGCAAGAGGCCCTTGCAGAATTACAGAGTCGGAAGGGACTTCGTGGGTCATCTAGTCCAACCCCCCTGCACGAGTGGGAGCCCCTAGCCGAATCACAGAGATGTGATTGAGCAGGGGGGGTGGACTAGATGACCTCTAAGGTCCCTTCCAACATTCTATGACTGTAAGGCTCTTCTGCTCGAGTGGGGGAGGGTTGGACTAGTTGACCTCCGAGGTCCCTTCCATTATTCTCTAATGCCCTTTCCTCGTCCGAAGGTCACCCAAGGGGATTACCTTACCCCCCCCTTTTACCCCCCGACCGTCGTAAACTATGAGTGCGCGGACCTTCCTTTGCAGAATAGGAGCCCGCCGCCAAGCGTCCTAATTTAGATTAGGACACTGGGACCATCGTAAGTCTGAAAACCACCCTAGGTCCCTTTCGCCAGTTCAGCTCCGCCCCGCTTCCGCTTCCCCCGTTTTTCGACTCGGTCGGCTGTCCCGACCGCCGATCCTTGTGCCCGCAGGACTCGCTTCTCTACGAGGAGTGGAAGTGGTTCCGTTGCCCGACGGTCGTGGAGCTGCTGGAAGAGTTCCCCTCGGTGGTGCTGCCCACCTCGCTGCTGCTCACTGAGCTGCCACTGCTGCAGGCCCGCCAGTATTCCGTCAGCTCCGCGCCCGACGCTTACCCAGGGGAGCTGCACCTCACCGTAGCCGTGCTCAACTACCGCAGTCAGGGTGAGTGGAAGAGGAGGGCATTGGGGCCGGGGGGGTGGTGCGGCTTGACAGGAGGAGAGCCGGCGTTGCCATGCCCCACGCGGGGCTATGATCAATTCGCCGTGGCCAATTCTCCACGGCTAACTCTCACGGCGGCCATTTAGCCGCAGGCCACTCGCTGTGGACAATTCCCTGCGGGACAACTTGGAGTGGGACAACTCACCTCGGCTAATTTGCCTCAGGGCAACTCGCTAGGGGACAACTTGGGGTGGCCGATTCACCTCAGGAAAACTCAGCCAATTTACCTCAGCACAATTTACTATGGGATAACTCACCACCGCAGTCAACTTGCTTCAGGACAACTCGCTAAGGGACAACTCATTGCGGGACTACAACACTGTGGCCCATTCGCCTCGGGACAACTCCCGTGGGACAACTCGCCATGGACCATTCGCCTCAGGACAACTCACTGTGGGAGAACTCGGGGCAGCCAATTTGCCTCGGGGCAACTTGCTGTCCGACAACTCAGGACTACCAATTCCCCTCAGGACAACTCGGCGCAGGCAATTCGCCTCAGGACAACTCGCTACGGAACAACTCGCTGTGGGGCAAGTCGCGACTACCAATTCCCCTCAGGACAATTTGTTGCAGCCAATTCACCTCAGGACAACTCACCGCAGCCAATTCGCCTCAGGATGACTCGCTACGAAACAACTTGCTGTGGGGCAAGTCGCAACAACCAGTTCCCCTCAGGACAATTCGTTGCTGCCAATTCACCTCAGGATAACCCGCTGCAGCCAATTCCCTTCAGGACAACTTGCAGCAGCCAATTCCCCTCAGGACAACTCGCTACGGAACAACTTGCTATGGGGCAAGTCACGACTACCAATTCCCCTCAGGACAATTCGTTGCAGCCAATTCCCCTCAGGATAATTTGGTGCAGCTAATTCCCCTCAGGACAACTCGCTACGGAACAACTTGCTACGGAACAACTTGCTGTGAGGCAAGTCACGACTACCAATTCCCCTCAGGACAATTCGTTGCAGCCAATTCACCTCAGGACAACTCGCTACGGAACAACTTGCTGTGGGGCAAGTCACGACTACCAATTCCCCTCAGGACAATTCGTTGCAGCCAATTCCCCTCAGGACAATTCATTGCAGCCAATTCCCCTCAGGATAATTCGGTGCAGCTAATTCCCCTCAGGACAACTCGCTATGGAACAACTTGCTACAGAACAACTTGCTGTGAGGCAAGTCACGACTACCAATTCCCCTCAGGACGATTCGTTGCAGCCAATTCACCTCAGGACAACTCGGCACAGCCAATTCCCCTCAGGACAAATCGCTACGGAACAACTCTCTGTGAGGCAAGTTGCAACTACGCTAATATAAAACAACAACAACGATGGAATACAATCATCAAAGGATGCAACAGGAACCGGATGAAACGCGAAGAATACAAATTCAACGAATTGTTTTAATTTCTTTTTCAGAAATTAAATCAAATTGTCCCATTGTCCGGCGGCGAGTGGACTGGACGAGAACTGGCGGTGGGGGGGGGGGGGAAGAAGGGAATTCCGTGGAGCTCACGACAGGGTCTCGATTTTGTCCCCTAGATGGGAAAGGCCCGGTGCACTACGGAGTCTGCTCCACCTGGCTGTCCCAGCTCTCTCCAGGCGAGATGGTGCCCGCTTTCGTCCGAAGGTAAGGAAGCTCCTGATAGGCATCGGAGTCCTTCGATGTGGTTTTTTTCTTTCTCTCACTTCAACACAGGTTGGTCGGTGTTGCTTGTAGGGGGGGGGGAAGGTCACTGCGGTGGCGGAGGGGGAGGAGAGATGGCCTTTGACACTCCCCCATCCCATCTCTCTTCCCGCCAACTGGGAGCTGCTTTGTTTTCCCACCGTATCACGAGCTCAGCCTGGGATGGGCGGCCCGGGAGAGGCATTGAGTGCTCTGTAGTCCCTTCCGAGCTGCAGAGATCAAACCAAGCCTCTCCTTACAACAATTTTTTTGGTGGGGGAGGGGGAGGTAGTAGGGTAGACGGAGACTCCCCTGCAAACCCGAAGGCGGTCCGTCACCAGGACTATGCCGCGGAAGACAAGGTTGCAGCTGGGAAGGACAAAAAAAAAATGGGGGCTGTTCTTGGGAGACCAACAACTGTTTGGGCGCCACGTCGACAGGGGAGGGGTTGCTCCTCACGGGACGCCAATTTGTAGAGCGCTCCTCATGGGACGCCAATTTGTAGAGCGCTCCTCACGGGACGCCAATTTGTAGAGCGCTCCTCACGGGACGCCAATGTGTAGAGCGCTCCTCATGGGACGCCAACTTGTAGAGCGCTCCTCACGGGATGCCAATTTGTAGAGCGCTCCTCATGGGACGCCAATTTGTAGAGCGGTCCTCACGGGACGCCAATGGGTTAGAAAGGATCCCTTCTAAATTAGTCATTTTGGCTTCCTCTTCTTGGCCCTCCTCACAGCACCCCAAATTTCCAGCTGCCGGAGGACCCCACAGCTCCCTGCATCCTGGTGGGACCCGGCACCGGCATCGCCCCTTTCCGGGGTTTCTGGCAGCAACGGCAATATGAGTCGGAGACGATAGGTGAGTCAGAAAGGGGGTTTTCTACCCCTGGCCCTGGGATGGGGATTGGTTGTGGGGGTGGGTGGGAGCTGATCAATCTGAAGAGAGAGTTGGAAGGGAATCCCCCCGGAGGTCATCTAGTCCAACCCGCTTCTCAAGCAGGGAGACCGCGACCGAATTCAAGAGTCGGAAGGGACCTCGGTCTATATTTGAAGTCTCCAGGCCTTCTGACCTCCTTATTATAAGAGTGGCGCCTTTCCCCCCAAAGTCTCCACCTCTCTGGATGCCGTCTTTCCCGGGGTAACCTTACTAAGGCTTTACAAAGCGGTTACGAACCCTCCAACATGCTGTTGATTTTTTGGGGGGTTGGGGGGATAGGGGCCCATTGTACAAGTTGAGCCAAGATCTGTTTTTTGGGGGGGATCCCGAAGCTTTTGCTTCTGGGCTGTTGGCTCACTTGCCCATTGGAGGAGTCTGCGAAAGATACTCGCTGGATACTCGGGCTTCGCTTACGAAATGATGTGCTCGGGTTTAGTTTTGGGGGGAGGAAAATAAGAGGGGGGGGAGTGGAATTTTTGCCTCTGTCTACTGGCAACCATCGGTCTTCAGTTGGCTTAGCATCTTGTCAGTGTGTGTATGTGTGTGTGAGAGAGAGAGAGAGTGGAAGGCTGTTTGGAAACTGAAAGCGTATTGACTGGGGGAGCAAGGAGGAGACAGCAAGGAGCCTGGGTGTGGCTTAGCTCAACTGTTCTGGACGAAAAGTGGCTTGGGGCTGAAATTATGAAATTGAAACTCCTCTGCTTGTGTTTTGCATTGGGAGCGGATTTCTTTTCAGGCGGCGAGCGGGAGTGAGAACTCCTGAGCACCAGAGCCTAATAATAATAATAATAATAATAATAATAATAATAATAATAATAATACAATAACGATGATGATGATATAGGAAATACTAATGATCGGATAGATGGTCATTTGGAAAAAAATCCTTTCTTAGTGAGAACCTATAAGCCAAGAGCAACATACCTGCCAAATTTCAAGTTTGTAGGATTTACAGTTATGGAGATATTGTGATGATGCGTGAGAGGCCTTTCGCTTTATATATAGAGAGAGATAGAGATACAGATACAGATATACAGACCCACATAGATATAGATACACACAGAGATAGATATAGATAGATAGATAGAGATAGAGAGAGAGATTAGATAGATAAATAGATAGATAGATAGATAGATAGATAGATAGATAGATAGATAGATATATAGACCTACATAGATTTAGATACACACAGAGATAGATATAGATATAGATAGATAGATAGAGATATAGAGAGAGATTAGATAGATAGATAGATAGATAGATATAGATATATAGACCTACATAGATTTAGATACACACAGAGATAGATATAGATAGATATCGATAGATATAAATAGGTAGAGATATGTAGAGATTAGATAGATAGATAGATAGATAGATAGATAGATAGATAGATAGATAG